ATCGCCGATTCTATTGTCGATACTTTTATCGACCTTTGTCGACTGCGTTGTCGTTATTATAGTTATCGATACTTTCATCGATGTTACCTGTAATTATCTATTTATCGTTATAGGGGTGGGAGAAAAGGGGTCGTAATTTGTGGGGCCAGGCTTCGTCCCAGCCCGCCGTGTGCCAAGACAACCTAACCCAACCCAGAGTTCGCCCCCCAAAAAGGGACCCCACCATTTCGCACTCCGAGCTGTCCACTGCCGCCATCGAACAACAACGACGAACTCGGCCGACGACGACATCCAAAATCCTGCCGGGCTCGCAGCCGTGATTATCTCGCCATGGTTCTTCAAGATCTCGGTCGCCGCATCAACGCGGCCGTCAGTGACCTGACGCGGGCGCCCAATCTCGACGAAAAGGCAAGTGTGTTGCCTTCACGGCGCTAAATGTGGCAAGCTGGCAACGTCGCCCTCGGCGACGAAACGAGGTCACGGCGCAGGATTGCTGACTTTTCGCAAACACCCAGGCTTTCGATTCCATGCTGAAGCAGATCTGCTCCGCCCTTCTCGAAGCCGATGTCAACGTACGCCTGGTCGGCCAGCTGCGCAAGTCGATCAAGGCAACAGTCAACTTCAAGGAGCTTCCGCCCGCAGTCAACAAGAAGCGCCTGATCCAGAAAGCCGTCTTTGACGAACTCGTCCGCCTAGTCGACCCACACGCCGAGCCCTTCAAGCCCAAGAAGGGCAAGTCCAATGTCATCATGTTCGTCGGTCTGCAGGGCGCGGGAAAAACTACAACATGCACAAAGCTCGCCAGGCACTACCAATCGCGTGGCTTCCGCGCCTGCCTGGTGTGCGCCGACACATTCCGTGCCGGTGCCTTCGACCAGCTGAAGCAGAACGCGACCAAGGCCAAGATCCCGTACTACGGCAGCCTCACAGAAACGGACCCGGCCGTGGTCGCTCGGGAGGGTGTCGACAAGTTCAAGAAGGAGCGGTTCGAGATTATTATTGTTGATACATCAGGTCGGCACAGGCAAGAGAGCGCCCTCTTCCAGGAAATGATGGATATCCAGGCGGCCACCAAGCCCGACGAGACCATCATGGTGTTGGATGCCTCGATTGGCCAGCAGGCCGAGGCTCAAGCGAAAGCGTTCAAGGAGGCGGCCGATTTCGGCGCCATCATCATCACCAAGACGGATGGCCACGCCGCAGGCGGCGGCGCCATCTCGGCCGTCGCAGCGACACACACGCCCATCGTCTTTATCGGCACGGGCGAGCACATGCTCGACATGGAGCGGTTCGTGCCGCGGAACTTTATCAGCAAGCTGCTGGGCATGGGCGACATGGCCGGGCTGGTAGAGCACGTGCAGAGCCTGAAGCTGGACCAGAAGGACACCATCAAGCACATCAGCGAAGGCATCTTCACGGTCCGCGACCTGCGCGACCAGCTCCAGAACATCATGAAGATGGGCCCGCTCAGCAAGATGGCCGGCATGATCCCCGGCATGAGCAACATGATGCAGGGCATGGACGACGACGAGGGCTCGCTCAAGCTCAAGCGCATGATCTACATTTGCGACAGCATGACCGACAAGGAGCTTGACAGCGACGGCAAGCTCTTTATCGAGCAGCCGACGCGCATGACGCGCATTGCCAGGGGGTCCGGGACCACGGTCCGCGAGGTCGAAGACCTGCTCACGCAGCAGCGCATGATGGCCGGCATGGCCAAGAAGATGGGCGGAAACATGAAGAACATGCAGAGGGCCCAGAGCGCCATGGGCGGCGGCAACAAGGCCCAGCAGCTCGCTGCCATGCAGAAGCGGTTGCAGAGCATGGGTGGCGCCGGCGGCGCCGGCGGCGGCGGGGGCATGCCCGACATGGCTAGTCTGATGAAGATGTTCGGCGGCGGTGGAGGCGGCGGCGGTATGGGCGGTATGGGCGGCATGGACATGAACGCCATGATGAAGCAAATGAGCGGCATGATGGGCGGGCAGGGCGGACGTGGCGGGCGGAGATAGCCGTGGCACCAAGAGTCGTCTTTCATGATTCACTGTTTACGACGGTATGGAGGGATTGCATTGTCTGGCGTCAGGGGTAACGGGGGCTGGTTTGGCAAGTGTCATACCAAATAAATGTTTTGCACTTCATCAGATTCCCGGGGATCGAGACGAGAGAAACTTGCAATTTTGTCGCCGCATTAAACAACAATCACAACGATGACGATAATATCAATTACAACGACTTAGTTTTCCGTTTAGACCGACATGTCGGCTTATAATTTACATTTCCTTGCCAAGAATCCATAACAGGTCTTCCCATCTCACGGACGTGGCCGCAAGAACGGATGGGCTTCGGTGTTGAGCACGTACTTGTCGAGACTGATCAGGTCAGGCGGTGAGAAGACGAGATAAAAGTACTTGAGCGTCTCGGCAATCCAGAAGCTCTGGTAAAGCCACGTTAGCATATCTAGTCAATAAATGGTAGTAGGGCGCGAACTCTCACCTCCATATAGTCCTCCTGCGGCAGTTCCGGTTTGGCGACCGTGACATCCAGAACAGCTGCGCTGCCCAGCTCGGTCGCTGTCCCCTTCGCAACGGCCTGAAACATGTCCCAGGCCGCTTCAACCCACTCGGCGTCGCCTGTGATCCGATGCATGTAAAACACACTTTCGATGGCCTCTGGGCGGAGGATGTACCTGGGGTCTTTGGCCGTCGTAAACCCCAGGGGTAAGTGCGGTTTGTACTCGGGCCTCTTCTCCCTCTCCGCCACCCATCTCTCCGCATCCCACTGGCACGGCTTATCGCCCTTACAGGGCACCATGTTGAGCCGCTCGGGCATGATGCCGGTGGGGAAAGACTTGTATGCGTAGACACACCCGCGAGTGAGCCGGGCGCCGACCTCGACATCCTCTTCGCTCTCGAGCAGGCGGCCGGCCAGGGCAAAGGTGCCGCCGATGAAGCAGGTCAGGTGCTCCGCCTCGGGGTCCAGGTGGGGGACGCCGGCCGGGTCGACATTCACGTTTCCGCTCATGAGGATGTCGGCGTTTTGGGGCACCATGGGCCGGAAAAAGAGGTGGCGCTTGGCGGCGTCCATGAAGCCGCGTGTCAGGGCTGGGAACCTGGAGTCGGCGCCCGAGAGGAGGGCGTGCATCTTGGGAAAGTACTCGTAGAGGGAGTCTGCGCAGCCGCCGAGCGTGAAGGTGCCGCCTGTGGTTACGTCCTCACGCAGCATGGACACAAACATGGGGAAGAGACCCGGGATCGCGGTTCTGTTTTGGTCCCGGTAAAACAAGTCTACGATGCCGGTGATGGCGTCGTAGTACTTGGGGTCGCCCGTCAGCTGGGACAGGCGGGTGAGCTCGAGAGTGAGGGTGCCTGGGGAGGCCGACACGACCGTGTTTTCGATTACAAGACCGGATCCCTCCTGGGCAGCTTGGAAGTTGATGTTGTCGACGGGCATCCTGTTCTTGGTGTTGAAACCGCCGTAGATGAGATCTCCTAGTTCGATTGCCTTTTGCAGCAGGACTTCCCGCCCACTGAGGTCGTATGCGGCCATCAGCCCCCCGAGATAGCGGATGTTGGTCTCGAAGATGTTGACCTGTTGGGACGTGGACGACCCGAAGTCGATCTCGGCCACGGCAGCAACGGCCTCGTCAAACTCCTCCCTGAGACCCATCATCCACAGCGTGTCGAGCGAGTCAACCAGGGTAGCTGCCCAGCCCGAGAACTGGTCCACGCCGCCCTTTGACAGTGGCAGAAGCGCATCCTTCTTCCACGCAAACTTTCGATAGCTCGCCCAGCTCTTGCGTGTGAGCTGTAGCACCGTGTTCCTCCGCTCCTCTCGTATCCTGCGAGCTTCGGAAGACTCCTTCTTGAACCGGTGCTGGATTCGCGGGAGCGCACCCCTTCCGCGCGGGTTTGGCAGTTGGGCGAGCTGCTGCCGTGGCGGGTAACGATATTCAATGTCCCCCCAGTCGACGCTGCTCTTGACGGGGATGAACGGGTGTGATGATGGGCCAGAGTTCATGTGTCGCTCAAGGAGGACCATCTCGCTGGTGTTGTCAGACCGGTTGAGGAAGTAGAACACGGCTAGGCAGAACACCATAGCCACGAGCACATTTTTGACCCGCAGGGCCGCTAGGCGGGACCGAAGTCGGAATTTACGCCGGAGGTGGTGGTGTAGAGGCGGCATTTCGAAAACAGAGGACGGCGCGTTGTTCGGTGGAGCAGCATTGATAACACAGTTTCGTGTTGAGGATTGGGGCGGACCTCAATCCTCAAGGCATGAATAAAGGCAGGCAGAATAGAATGTGTGAAGCATCAATCAATAGGAGAGAAACTCAGACTGTCACAACACCAGTGCTGTCAGGCTGTAAGTTGAGTCCAAGCCAAGGAAGGTGAAGCTGTGAAGCTGGCCTCTCATGCGTGCCGTTGCCAAGAGCAAAGCGACGTGACAGGGTGGCAGTTGCTTCCAATCTTGTTGGCCCGGTTTCCGTAGGCTAAAGTTGAAACAGGATCGGTAGTCGTTTGTCTTGGCTCGTCAGTGTGGGTCAAGTCGCACTGTAATCTGTATTATCGTGTAGATAGCTGTTTGAAGAAGGTTTGATGACGAGTTTCTGAAAATGCACACTGCGTATATAAAGGAAGGCTTCGTTTTATTGCGTTTACAGTACCTTTTCGAGAGCGATTGGATGTCTCGGCACTTCGGCCAGATTTGAGCGACAACCTTGAATTGGCCGACATCCGCCCCACAGGGACAGTGCGACCAACAACCACTTCAGTTCAAGTTCTCACTTACTTTGACTAGGACCTTTACAGTTAGTTATTCCACATATTCAGTAGTAGAGGCTGGTAGTACCTCTTTGCACTATACAGTATAGTTGCAAAGTGAGAGATAGCCCTACTCAATGGCAACGTTTGTGTCGAATTATCTTTCAGACACTGGCAAGTAAGATCGGGTCGGTGCTTGGCTCTCTATAATTTATACCGTTTTACTTACTAATCTGCTTAGTCACTTTGGCGGAGTGGTTAACGCGCTGCCCTGCTAGCCTCTAGTTAGTTAGCCTAGGCAGTTCCTTCGGGAGCGTAGGTTCGAATCCTACAGGTGACGTAACTTTGCTTCTTGTTCTTTCTATCAGTAGGACAGGTTGTATGCAATCTTTACTTCTCATTCTTTTTATTAGAAGGCTAGATTGTCTCTCAATCATCTACTTACTGTCCCAGCATTCGTAGCTGTCTTTGCCTTTTGTTGAGGCTTGATTCTTAACTAATAATAGCGGTTTACAAAGATACTTCTCCCCCTCAAGGCCTCGACACCTCGAAGCTGAACAGCGGGGTTGACCTAACAGCTAATGCGTTGTATGGCCATATATAAAGCTAGCGGGCTCTCTTCCTCGATAGGTTGTCTTTAGTGTCTCGTAGGAAATAGGTATTAGGTACCTAGCCTGAGGTGCCTCTCCATCAAGGAGGCGTGCCACCCTCTTGGCTAGAGCCATCTGCACAGCAGTCTGTCGGTCGGTTTGTATACCTCACATTGCGTTAAGGGTTTTCTAGGAAATGTTTCTCCATCTCGACGTCTCAATTCGAGCAAGGTAAAATTTAGCTTGATGGGCGTCGATGAGTCCCGTGCGACGTCGTCGGGTACCTAAGGTACTTCATTAAGGGGTTATCGGGAGTCGGGAATGACCATTGAATCAAAACACGCCCAAGGTAATATGAATACAACCTGGAAGGGTTGAAAGACTTGAAACAGCACAATCGGGAAGACACCTGCAACTTGAGAAAAGTCTGTCAAGGTTTTGTTAGTAATCAAATTGTCACCACGAAAGTTTGATATGTTTTCAATTTATTGGAAGCAGTGTTGTGCCGAGTAATACTGCAAAACTCTGTCTTATTTCTTTTTCTCTTGTTTGTTCTCTTGTTCTGTTCTGTTGCGTGAGTGGGAGGCCCCCGGAACGTGCCGAGACAAACAGCACTAGCGGATTGGGCACCCGTCCAGGAACAAATTCGTCCGACTCCAAGTCTTGCCTGATTGATGGCAAACTGGCAATTCAATTGTGGGCTGTGCCCAACTGTCCGATCCCGACCGAAGAGAGGCCAATTGAGCACCACAAGGCAGGCTTGCAGTCTCAGGAGTCAGCAATCCGGTGTTTGAACTTTGCGGCGTTCGGAGATCGGAATTCGTGGCCGCCAGCCCAACACAATTTTCGCCCTGCACATTTGGTGCGTTGCGCACGTCCAAACTCGATTCGGATTTTCATGCAATGCGAAACCTGATTGATGGACGCTTGGACAGCTCCAGTCGGGTGCCTGCCTACGTGGCGGCACGCCTGTCAACCAAGCGAGCGCCGCGGATGCTCGGGCTTTTCCTCGTCGATTGAAACGTTGGGTTCTGTGGCCCAACGACGCCAGAGAGAGCGCGGGCCACGTGGATTGGGAGCTCACATGCTCCTTTGCCGCTTCCAGATCGCAGGCGGCAGTATTCTCTGCAAGACCGCCCTGCCTCAGCGACTGGTGACTGGCTGGGGGGCATGGGCGAGCCCCATGGCGGGGCAGCATCCGATTGGGACTGGAACACCGGCCACCTCGCTGGCTGACTCACGGGGCAGTGCTGATCTCCTTCCTGGAACTCGACCGGACTCGACCACACTCGACCACACTCGACCCCGTTGCGCGCGCCTTGAGAGTCGCAGAGTTGACAGCTCACCAGGGAGGGCAACGCAACCTGGAATGACGCAAAGGGTCCACGGGTGCTGGGTGCTTCAGGGGCCCAGTTGCAGACTTGCAGTCGGGCTTGGCTCCCTTACCTTAGCCATTCAGGGCGGCCATTGAGGCCCAACTTGAAGACCAATGACCAATGGCGACGCTGGCGCCGAGACTGGCAGGGACTGGCAGCGATGCTAGGCATTGCCAGCTCACAGCTCCTCACAGCGGCGAGCAGCCAGTTGAGCGACGGGTAGAAATATGCCCCTCCGTCTCGAGGTCTCCAGAGTTCGTCCAAGGACATTGCAGCATCACAGCGCAATGAGATATTTCCGCAGTCTCAAAGTCTACATCCCGGTCGAAGCCGCAACCCTCATCGGACTCACCTTTGTCGCTGCCACTTCCTACGTCTACCGCTCAGTCATGGCCAAGAAAAAGAGCTCCAAGAGCGGTGTCCCGAAGCCGGCATCGGCCGTGATTGACCCCAGGCCCGAGACTTCGTGAGTATAATGCCCCATACTCGGAACTATTATTTCCATAGCTAACCAGTACTACCGCCCCTAGCCCCTATGGTAGCCCGACCTGCACCATCCCCTTTTCCAGCCCCCTCAATGTGCCGCTGGATATCCTCAAGAGGAGCCCCAAGCTCCAGGCCGCCTACGAGAGCCGGCTCCCGGAGCTCCCGGCCATCCCCGGGGGCGTCGGCCACGTCCTCGTCCACTACCTCCACACCGGCACCTACGAGTCCCTCAAGCCGACGCCGACAGACACCATGTCGAAGCAGATCTGCGAGCTCAAGACGAGCATACAAGCATATGCCGCCGCGAGAGCGTACGAGCTCCCAGATCTGATGCGCCTCGCCGAGGCCAAGATTGACAAGTACGGCAAGGGCATGCCTCTCCCTGCCCTGCTTGAGGTGGCCCGTGATGCCTACCCGACCTTGACCGAGGGGGACGCCTGGTTTCTCGACTACCTGAGGGCCCGCATTCGCCCGCACCTGAAGGACGCAAAATCTTTGATGGGGTCAAACCTGCTCGATCAAATCAGCGGCATTCTCTCGCCCAACAGGATCCTCCTCCGAACCGTTCTCGAGCTGTTCTGTGAGAGGATTGCGGTTGCTCTCCCAGAACCTGTCCACCCCCCCGCTGCGAGCGCCGAGCCGAGCACCCTCGCGAGCCCAATCACTAGCCCGGGCACTTCTCGGCCCGTTTCCCCCCCTCCTCTTCCGGCGTCGCCCATGTCGCTGCTCGAGATGAGGTCGAGATCCATCCCCCGAGAGGAGTTTGCGCCCCCTCGGAAGAACCCGAAGGCAACGTCATGGCCATTGCCCGACGACATGTCGGAGGCGTCCTGGGCTCGGTCGCCGTCGCCCGACCCGGTTCTCCCGGAGACAGCGCCGCCGCAATTTGAGGCAAAGCCGGTCCGCGAGCCCGCCTTTGCACCCACACCGTTCCCGGAACTGGGTCCAGTCATCCTCGACGTCGTGCCCCCGCCGGGGCCATCGATCGCGACTAGGGCTGTGGTTGTTGAGCCTGAAGCCAGGGTCGCCCCTGAACCAGAGGTCGAGCTTAGTGCTGAGCCCGAAACCAAGGTGGAGGGTAAGCATGAGGTCAAGCTCCAGGTTGAGCCCGAGACCAAGGTGGAGGCCGAGAGTGAGGTCAAGTTCCCGGGTGAGCCTGAGATCGAGCTTTCTGCCGAGCCTGAGATCGAGCTTTCTGCCGAGTCTGAAATCAAGCTCCCCGCTGAGCCCGAGGTCACGCTCCCGGCTGAGCCCGAGATCACGCTCCCGGCTGAGCCTGAGGTCAAGCTCCCTACCGAGCCAGAGATTCAGCTCCCTACCGAGCCTGAGGTCACGCTCCCCGTTGAGCCCGAGGTCACGCTCCCGGCCGAGCCTGCGATCACGCTCCCTGCCGAGCCTGAGGTCAAGCTCCCGGTTGAGCCCGAGGTCGAGCTTCCTACCGAGTCCGAGGTCACGCTCACTGCCGAGCCTGAGATTCTTGCCGACGCCGTCGAGCCTGAAATCAAACAGGAGGACGAGGCCATCTCCGACCCCACTCCCGTGGCTCAGCGTGAGAGGAAGGATTCAGGCAAGGGGATCGACTTGGAACTCCTCCCCAATGAGCTCGAGTCTATTCCTAAACTCGTGCCTGAGCTTGAGACTGAGTCCAGCACTCAGCCTCAGGTTCGGCTCCGGGCCGTTAGGGAAGCTGACTCTGGGTTTTGGGAAGGCCCTGATGAGTCCGGTAAGGAGCGCGCTCCCTCGTTTGTGGAGCTTGAGCCTGTGGCGGTGCCCACTTCGGAGCCTGTACACGAGCTCGAATCCATCGCTATCCTGAAGGATATCCCTGGCATCGACACTCGCGACTTTGCAGGCTCCGATGATGCGGATGTCAAGGCCGAGACCGACGACGATAAGCGAGCCGTGTCAGAACCCGACGTCGCCTCCAAGGAGGCAGACCCTGTGTCTCTGCCAGCCCAGGACTCCGTCTCCGAGATGACGGCCGACATTCTGCTTAAGGACGCTCTTGAGTCCAACATGGAGCCGGAATCACTGCCGAGCAGCTCGGCTGAGGAGTTCGCCGATGCAGCGACCATTGTGCCCGAGGTCACCTCGGTCGTGGATCTGCCAGAGGATGCACAGAGCAAGGAAGTCAAGGCACTGCCGGAGACAGAGAAGGTAGAACCGTTTTCAAAAAGTATAGAAGAAGAGTCATTGCTAACTGTTCAGCAGGCCCAGGAGGAGACTGTCGAGCATGAAGCGGGGGCGAAACCCGAGCCCGAGCCCAAGGCGGAATCGTCGGATGCCATTCAGGTTCCCGACGATGCTCAGCCCGCTGGGACCGCTGAAACCAAGGCGGCTCAGCCTAGTCTCGAGCCGGGGCAGGAGCCCGCTGGGAAGCCCGAGGTTCAACGGGCCACCAGTGACTCCGCCGTCGACGCCGCCCCCTCTGCTGTTGACGCCATCGAGCCCTCGGCGGTTCTCAGTACGCAGCCTGCGCCTGAGCAAGAGGGTGCAAAGACTGAAGCCGACACGGCTGATGTCCAGCCCTGCAGCGCTCAGGTGAGGCAGCGGAGCTGGAAGAAGCGCTTCCTCAGCCTCAAGTACCCCGTCCTCTTTGGCCGGGGCATGTGACTCGCTCGGCCGACGTCCGCCGTGTGCATTATCAGTGTGTCGGCACCGACGGGCGCCACGAGGACCAACAACCGCACAGAGACAACAAATACGACACACGACCTCCAAATGCAAGAACCTTGTACATTTTCCTTTGTCGACACGAGTCACACTTCTTCTTCTTCTTCTTCGTCTTTATCTTCCTCGGACTCGCCTTCCTCCTCCTCGGCGTTGTCTTCCGCTTCGCTCGTTTCTGGCCTCTGGCTGGGGCTCGCACTGGCATTCACTTCTTCTTC